CAAGACATCCCCCCCAGGGTGTGTCATCGATGTGGCTGTGGTCGCTTGCAGTCCCCGTAGAGTCGTGCGCGACGTGGTTCTCCAGAGGGTCTGACCTCTTCCTGGGGCCTGGCTTCTCATCCGGGGCCGATTTGGGACGGCCCCGCGGAGCCTGGCGCGAGGACCCCCCGGAGGACGCGGAGGACGCAAAGCTTTACGCCGTGCTTGTTTTCCTTCGTTGCGCGAGGATGGCAGGGCCATGCATGGACCCAAGCACAGACCTCCAGAGGCACCCAGCTCACCAGCCTGAAACAACACCCGATCCCTATGATCGGCATCGCCTTGTCTCGATGCCGATCTTAAGGATGCCCTCGATGTTCGAGGGCGCATCCCTGAGGTTGGCATCGCTTTCTAGATGTCACTCTTTAGGATAGGGATAAGTCTAGGCCTCCCAGATGGGGTCGGGGTAGGTAGGGTCTGAGGATCGCACCGCATAGCCGATGCATCGGCGATGCGGCTTGTTGTGGAGCCCCGTTTTCTCCACGCCGACGTCGCCGCTGCATCGCCCACGTCGCCGATACATCGCCGATGCATTCGCGATGCGGCACGATCCTCTGAGCCCATCTGCTCGGACCCCAAGGGGGAGGCTTCCAATAGATGTAAACCGAGGGGGCCGATAACGCTACTCCCCGGATCTCTCCCAGGGTGGGAGGCCCAGCAAGGGGAAAACGAGGGAGGCTAGCGGTATGGGTAATTTCTTACTGAATGTAATTGGTTTTAGGGTTTTAACAAATGGTCGCAGCCACGCAGAGGGGGTGCGTAGCGACGCCCCGAATGCTCGGTCTCCAGTACTTCTACGTGGCGGCGCCCCCGCAGGCACGCAGAGGGCACGCGTGGCGACGGGGGCGTCGCCACGCAGAGCTTCTGAAGGCCAAACATTCTGAAAGCCAATTGTTCCCACTACTGAAATACTCTTTTCCTCCTCCGATGAGCGACTCGAGGCTGGCCACCAGCGGAGCCCCCTTTTGGGGCCCGGTGCCCGGCGGGATCGTCGGATCCCAAGAGGCGGGCGGAGCGGGCTCGTGGGGGCGCCGCGCGCACAGCCCACGGCCCCGCGCGAGGCGTGCCCCCCCCCCCCGCCCCCCGGCCGCGCTCGGGCCACCCGGTCGGCGGGCGGGCGGCACTCCTGTCGGAGGCACCTCTTTTATGTCGGGCGTGTCCCCCATACAGGGGGATTTGCGACGAAAAATAAAAGATACCCCAAAGATACCCCCAAAAGGTCCAAACATACTCGAAAAATAATCCCTGGGCTGTTTTTGGATTATGTTGTGATGATTTGGGTCTTTTATTTAATCGCTTCGCTCATTCCGCCAGCCCATACAGTCTCATGTCTGCCGTTTGCCCGAGGGCCTGGTGTCAATGCGGCGCTTTGGGGGTTCCTGGGGCCGCTTGGGGGACTCCTGGGGCGCTCGGGGGGGCATTTGGGGGGCCTCCTGGGGCCGCTTGGGGGACTCTTGGGGGCCTCCTGAGGGCCTCGTGGGGGCCTCTTGGGGCCTCTTAGGGGCCTCTTGGGGCCTCGTAGGGGCTTCTTAGGGCCGAGGGCTCGAAATGTTGTTTCGTGTTCCCTCTCTGGGGCCCCTTTGGGGGCGTTCTTGGGGCCCTCTTGGACCGTCTTGGAGGCTTCTTGGGCCGTCTTCGAGCCCTCTTGGGCCATCTTGGGGCCCTCTTGGGGGCCTCTTGGGCCCTCTTGGGGCGATCTTGGGGGCCTCTTGGGCCGTCTTGGGGCGTCGGGAAGCCGAACAGGTGGAAGCTCCAAAATCTCTCAAAAACCTAAGGAAAAACAAGCGGGGCCAGAAGCCAGCGGGGCTCTCAAATCGTGGACCGGCCATGGATCTCGCCGCCGCCCTGTGTCAGGTGAGGCATCCTCCAGGGCCTGACGCCTCCTGGGAACACTGCTTGACCAACGCCCCCACCGTGGGTCACACCAGCTGGGGGACACACGGTCACGTAAACATAAACTTGTGGCGCCCCGCGCGGGCTCCCCCGATCCGCGCGGGGTCCCCCTGGCGGCTCCCTCCGCGCGCCCAGGGAGGGGGCTTCAGGGCCGATCCGAGAAACCGGCGCGGACCTCTGCACGCGTCTATAGTCTATACGCCTCGCCCTCGAGGCATCGGTGGGCTGGCGCTTCGCGTGTTCCCTGCCCTTCCCTCTCCTTCCTTCTCCTTCCCTCTCATCGAGATCCGAAGCTGTTTACGTACGTTCTGATCCAAACCGTTCGAGGACGCTCGCTTTCTGGAGCACTCCGAGAGGGCCGCGCGGCGCCCGAGGCACGCCTCGGAGCCGCCAGGCCTCGGAGGAGTCCGAGGCATGCCGATCCCGGTTCGCCCCGAGGCTGCCCCCGTTTCTCGTGTCGGGGGCCGTGGCTCGTGGGCAGCCGGGGCCGAAGTGAGTCCGAGGCGGGAACGTGTCCGCATGATCTCAGGCGGTGAGATCTGTACTTCAGTCGGGCGTGTCCCTCTACAGGAGGAGTATTCAAAGTAGTCAAAAATAGTTCGGGAACGATGTTTGGAATCTTTTGGGTTTTTTTTTCGTCCAAAGTACCCCTGCAGGGAGACAGGCCCGACCTAAATCTATACACCTCCGCTGCCTCTGGCCCATCCTGGGCCCGAGGGGCAGTACAGGGGTCGACCCCTGAGCGGTCTTCGGGCGATGTCGTGGGCCGCGTTCGTTCCGATTCCGCTTTGCAGCAGAGGCGGAGGGGAGCCAGAGCGGGGGAAGCACAAACGCAGCACGAGCACGAAAAACACGGTTCGGGTCGCTCCCTTGGGGGCAGCACGCGTGCCTCCCTGGCTGAGCCAGGAGGGCGTGCAATTACACTGCGCTCCCGGGCCCGGGAGGAGGCGCCTGGCCAGGGGCAGCGGACATGTATCTGTATGGTTGTGGAGGACGGTCAGTGGAGAGGAAGCGTGTTGCCAAATAAGTTCCAGATGTCTAAAGCATGTGTCAAGCATGTTATAAACATGTGAAAACTATGTTTTAAACATGTTCAGAACATGCTTCCGACATTTTTAACACACTTAATTCAAGTTCAATGATAGGACTGTTGGGGTGTCCATTGTCGTGACATCCACAAATGTATGGGCCCCGTCGCCGTGCAGCCACCGCCTGGGAGGTCGAGCTTCGGGGACCTGGCGGCGGAGGGCGAACTTCGGGGACCTCGGCTGGCTGGCCCTGGGAAGGGAGGCGAAGATCTCCGCACCCACCGCCCGCCGAGGTCCCCACAGCTCGAGATCCCCGGGCGGCGGCCATGAACAAACTCCCACAGCGTGACAAGGACCACTCTCGGCTCAGGAGGGGCTCGTGGTTCTCGGCCGCACCCGGACCCTGTGTCGGGGGACCTATCCCAAGGGCGCCCTCGAGGGCGCGAAGTTATTCGCGCTTCGCGCTTCGCGGTTCGGCTCCGATTCCTCCTCGTCCTCCTCTTCTCCCCTGGGAGGCGGCGCGAGAGCGCGAAGTTATTCGCACTTCGCGCTTCGCGCAGCGCGAAGCGCGAAGTTGGGAGCCCTTATATCCGTGCCCGAGGCTCGCCGTAGCCAGAAAAAGCCCTTTCGCCCCTCACGTCGGCGCCGGGCATGGCGGCACGCGGACTGTGCCCGCGGCCTCGCAGGTCGGACTCCTCGGCGCCGCGACCGCACGAACACGGGGCGTGCTTCGAGCGGATGCCCCTCCTCCTCCTCCTCCTCCTCCTCCTCCTCCTCCTCCTCCTCCTCCTCCTCCTCGCCCACGGGATTGCGCATCCACCGGATCGCGCCTGGGTGTCCAGACCGTGAGGCTCGGGGGCAACGATCGGGGGGGATAGGCACAGGGGAGATGCATCGGCCCCCAATATCGTCCGTTCCTCGCCGATAGGGGCCCGATAGCCCCACCTTGCCCAGGAACGTGCGGCGGATTCGCTATCGGGGGCCTATCGCCGCTCTATCGGCGATGTATCGCTGATTCCGGGTCGATGTTTCCCCCACCCCCCCCCTATGCCAGTCCCCAGCCCAGTATCATTGCCCCTCACCCGTATTCTTGCGCAGCGCACCGCGGCAGGGCGTTGCTCATGACGCATTCGCATCAACTACAGTCAAACCGATGCTAAGGATGGGTAACCTTCCCAAGGGTACCCTTGCGTTCGTGCCTCTTAGGTCCATCCCTTCACCACTTTCGATGGCCCGCCACGCTCGCAGAAGTTTCAGCATGCGTCCAAGGGACTTATGCATCCTTGCCCCGCAGCCTACTGATTGGTTTTGACCGCGCTACGCCTTCGTCGCCGTCGCTGTGATCTGGCGATGTTTGCTCGCGTTTGGTAAGAATCGGCCACGCGCGAAGGCTTCTTAGACGCACCCTTGTTTCTTAGAGGGCGCGGGCCTTGTCTGTAGATAAAGGGCCGGTGCCTTCTGAGAAGCGGCCTCCTTCTAAGAAGCCCTCCCTCCCTACATCTCACCCTTCTCTGCGCGCCGCCAACATACGTGGCGGGCTCTGGACGCCCTGAACCCGGAGGGGAAGGGGCCCAGGGACACGAGCAAGTGGGCACGGATCCCAGGCTGCCCCGTACCTCCAACATTCCCCGAATCTTCGTCTCCCCCCCCACCTCCAGCACCCTCCACCTTCCCCTCCGCGCGCCGCCGAGAGAAGCCACGGCGGGCCTCCGCCCCCCTCGCCACGTCGGTGCACCGCGCCCCGGGGGCTGGCCGGGAGCGCGTGCGGAGCGCGCGGGGCGGCCTGTCCGCTGCCGGGGTCGGTCCGGGGCCGTCGGCGGGGTGGCGCCCCCCCCTCCTCCTTCCTTCTCCTCCTCCTCCTCCTCCTCCTCCTCCTCCTCCTCCTCCTCCTCCTCCTCCTCCTCCTCCTCCTCCTCCTCCTCCTCCTCCTCCTCCTCCTCCTCTCCTCCTCCTCCCTCCTCCTCCTCCTCCTCCTCCTCCCCCCCCGTCTCTTCGCTCGCGGCGGGCTCGCGTGTCGACCGGCGGCGGCCCCGCCGCCAGGCCCAGAACGCCACCGACTGCCTGCCAGCCCCGGTGTTGCGACGCAGGCAGCAGCAGCACGATCCAAAGCGTTTTGGGTGCGGCGAGATATTTTCCTGTTGCGCCTCCACCCTCAGCAGATAGCTCCTGACATAGTCTTCTGACCTGGTAGCTCTGCGAGGATGTCTGGGTCACACGGTTCTCCTGTGAGACGTCTGGCAGCAAGCGCCCCCGCTTCCAGCTGGACGAGAACGGCGACGGCAAGCTCAATTTGCAGGAGCTGAAGGCTGCAACCACATGCATTTCTGGACTTGCCCAACGCTGCTCGTGCTCGCTCTGACACCCGCTCCTTCCACGCCAGCCTCTTTCACCATCTCGTCCACCTTGGCCAGTTCTCCTCGTTCTCCTGCATCCGTCCTCGCCTCCACCTCTTCGTAATTATCATCCTTTTCCTCGTCGTCCTTCATGAGCGGATCCCTGCTTTTGCCGATCCACCTGGTCCCCTCCTCGGGGGACGCCACCTGCACACCAACAACGATCCTTGCCAGGCCGATCCTGTATCCAGCATCGGTGTCTGTGCCCTGCTTGCCAAGCGATGAAGGGGGCGTACACCAATCCTACGCCCAGGATGGGCATGGCGAGTATCAGTGTTGGTGTGTAGGTGGCGACGTCCTGCTTCCTTCTCCTGCCCTCCTCTCACCTCTTACTCTCGTCCTGTCGACGCGTATCGATTTTAACTTTCGCGCACGTCGCTGCATGATGTCCGACGCCGAGCCAAACCTCTGGGCCGGCTTTGGAGGTCGTCGCGGCGATCGCGGTGGACACATCGGAGCAAGGTTTTTTGTCAAGGAGTGGCATGCCCCTTCCCAGCCCCCCCTGCGATTTAGACGCGGCTACCAAATAGCAACCTAGCAATATAGCGACAGAGAGTTTTATTTTTATGTGCAATATGGGGAGCCGATTTTTTTGGACAGGGGTCGTCCATCACGCAACCAGCATGGTAGAAACGCTTGGGTCCGAACACGTAGGGCGCTCTAGACAGGGCTCAGATGCTGTCTGAGGATAGGAAGTTGGTCTTTCTTCCCCGGCGGAAGGAAGGCGGAAGCAACAGTTGTCCATCCCAGAGATGCTAGTTTGCCGGAATTGACGGCTTCAGCAACTGGCCGTGGTGTCACTAGCACGAACGTCGGGGGTCGCTTCCATGGAAGCAACAAGTTAGGTGGTAAGGTTTGGACATCCTGGGCAACTCAATCATGTTGACGATTGGACCGTCAACAAAACAAAGGATGTTCTCGATTCCCCCCCTCCCAGAAGCCTGAACAACAACTCGTCTGACTCTCTTGGGGTGTTGTGGGGGGCCTTGCTGTGGGGACCTCTTAGAGCACTTGTGGGCGCCTCCTTGGCGGTCTAGGGCTCTCTTGGATGTATGTTGGAAACCATATTGAACCAAGTTGGGCCATGCTGCTCGAGCTTAGAGGCTATCCCGGGATATTCTGGACCATGCCATCTGACTGTGTACGGATAGAGGAGCTCCATGCATCATATACATATATATATATATATATGTAATATGTATATATCATTGGATCGCGATCTCAACGGGGAGGGCTCATAACTAGAGGTGGGAGTTATGGGTTCCTCGTGTCTCCCTCTGTGACCGCCTCTGTCTCCTTCTCCTCCTCATCACCATCAGTTGCTATAGGTCGCCTAGGGGACACTGGGCTCAAACCAATGACGCGGTGCGGAGCCAGCGTCCTGGCATGGGCTACACTATTGTAGGGGGAATGGAGGAGCCAAGTCAGCGCTGTACACCTGGGACGTTCAGAAGGTAGAAGCTCGAGACTCTGCTTCTTGATTGGCAGATCCCTGAATAACGACCCCATGTACGACCACACGCTGATGGCGATCGAGGCGTCGGCAAATGCGTTGAAGCACGCACGCGATGGAGCAGACATGAGGGCGCTGGGCAGCGGATTCAGCAGCGCAGCACAAGGGTTTGCAACGAGGTGGACCTGAATCCTTGGCTGGCATGGGGCTGGCTTCCGCGATGGTCATGGCATGCTACAGGCTGAGGTGGCAGCACATCCTACCAGACAGGGTGTACAACGACATGGACCACAAGGTAGACCAAGTTGTTGGGGCAGTCTAATGTTTCTAAACTGGCGGGGTCAAGTATTGAAAGGCGCCTGTGAAGGGATGCTAGCAGACGGCAGGACCTCGAACACCTTTGGAACGGAAGGGTCCTGGGCTGCATCTAGAAGGTCCTACGCCAGACTATGGCATTAAAGCAGGCGGCGAGCTGCAGGGCGGAGGAGGACGCCCTTCGGTCGAAAGCGCTCGCGCCCGAGCACCGCAGGCAATTACCACCTGCTGCCACGGAGACCAGACAGAGGCGAGGGGCCCAACGCAATATTGGGGCAGCCTCTCAAGGTGGACCTCTTCACGGACTGCAGCGTGGAAGAGCCATCTCCGTGCTCAGCCAGGGCAGTTTGAGCAGTTGCTTCAACTGCGAACGACGATGAGCGCGTGGCGCAGCCAGGTCCAATACCATGGCCCCGCCCACAGGAGTCGGGCGCGGCCGAGCTCCAGGGATGCATGGAAGCGCCGCAATCGTTGGCCGACGGCTACGAGGCTGGCCAGGTGTGGTGTACGCTGTGGAGGAGACCGTATGGCGAGTTGTGGGTGAGGTTTTGGCAGGTGGTCGGGGATCTCAGGCAGGAGAGCATCCAGATCAAGGTCAAATCGCACGCCACGATCACGGACGTGCTGGCGGAGAGGATTCAAGCTTGATTGGACGGGGGCAACCACGCTGCTGATAAGAGGGCTCGCGACGGAACAAGGAATGGTGCATCCTCATGGTGAGTTTCTTCGTCATCGCAGCGATCAGCAGGGCAAGCAGGTGGCCAAGACGTCCAGGTGGATCGGCACGGCCATGCAGGTCGGCAGCGCGGAGCTCACGGCAGAGGACGGACACGGAGGAGAAGGTCTCGCGGTGGTGCGCTGTTCCCATGGCCGTCGCAAGCTTAGATGGAGAGTGCTGCGCCAGTTCGAGTCGTGTGGGTCAAGGACGCGCGACCAGCATGGCACGTGGGTTCAGATTGCCGAGCTGACGCAGTGGTCATGCAGCAGCTGTGCAGGATGGGACCGTCCAGTTTCGGTCGCAATTCGGCTGGGGTAGCAAGGACCTTCGGCTTTGCCGCGTTGCAAGCGATTTTGCTAGAGCTTGGGCTTGCGTGTCGCGAGCTCTGCAAGGGTTTGCATCAATGCCGCTCGGCAGTGTTGGATTTCAGGGCCGCTCGCAATGTAGTTCGCCCGCTGCCTTAGTCGCTGACGAGGGGCCCGCCCTTCAGGGACCTCTGTGGAATGAAGCGTGCCTCCATATTTCGGAGTGGAACTGGGGTTGGTAGGTTCCGCTGAGTTGGCACCCAGGATCAGCCGCCTAGCAGCGGGGGGACAATGGTCCACTCGGGGTTTTGCCCGTATGGCTGCCTTCCGTCTTCCTCATCAGCATCTCCCAATCTTCTGCGCGCCTCTGACACCTACCGCCTGTACTTCCCTGCCGCCCTCATCGCTTGTCCTTGTTCCTGGCTCTTCATTCCCGCCGGTCCTCATTCCCGCCTTTTCATTCCGCCTCCTCCTTTTCTTCTTCGTTGTCATCATTCGTCCGCCCCTCCTCCTTCCCCCCTCCTGCTCCTCCTCCACGTCCTCCACTTCCTTCAGGGCACAACCCCTCATACACAGCAGTGCTGCGACAGGTGTGGCGCTCGGGGCGGCCTTCCGGGGCCTTCCTGGAAGGGCACGGGCGACAGTATCCGGGCTGGACGGACAACTGTGTGTTGTGATAGGCGTCGCGCTCCCGGCCACGAAGCGGCCACGGGCGTCGACGCGGCGAAGCTTCGGTGGACCCCCCCCAAAACGGGCGGGAACGAGGCGGCCGCGGGTGGCGACGCGGCGAAGCTTCGGCGGGCCCCCAAGTGGACGGCAGCGGGGCGGCCACGAGGCGGCCACGGGCGGCGACGCGGCGAAGCACTGGCAGACCCCCCAAGTGGGCGGCAACGAGGCGGCCACGGCTGGCGGCGTGGCGAAACTTCGGCGGATCCACGGAGCCTCGTCGAAAGGAGGGCGGCGCGGTGCGGGTGGGGGCTTGTTGCGTTGAGAGGTGTCGAGTGAGTCCCGTGGGCACGGCTTCGGAGCCGGAAAGGCAAGACGCAATATGGTCAAGCCGCTGAAACGACGACCGCTTTGGGCGGAGGAGGGGCGTGGGTTTCCGTGTAGATCTAGGTCGCGGAACCTACTCGTGGCCGAAGCTCGCTGTGGCCAGACAAGCCCCTTCGTTCCTTAGCCAGCGTTCCTTTTGGCAGCACGATGGCTGCATAGGTTGTGGCCCTGGAGTGGGCGAGCGCAAGGGTAGCCCTGGAGTAATAAAGGGAGGGGTCACCCTTGTCCTCTCTCAGAGGCGGGGGAACAACTCTCCGGGCGGCGAAAGATTTGCAATCCTTCCCCGTTAGCACTGACCCCCAGCCGGCGCCCGTGGACTCCCACAGGCGCAGTCAAAATTCATCCCCCTCCCGCACTAGCAACGCATGCAGTGGACGCGCGAGAACGGGAGGGGAAGGGAGGGGCGGCCGGGCATCCGGGATCGTAACTGGAAGTAGGAAAACGCATGTAGAGAACAACACGCAGAGCTGTAACATCGGAGACTGAAAACTGGAACCGGGGCAGGGAACATCAAGCCTAATCTGCGGAGCCTGATGGCCCAGGGGGCTTCTCGGATTGGCCCAGCAGAAGGTTGTCGGACAAATGTTATTGGTTTCGCATGTGTGACTGGGGTTGGTTGCGCGGTGCTGCTGGAGGCACCGTGAAAAAGGGGCGCGAGGAGGATTCGATTGGCTTCGATTGCAGCTCACGGGTACTTTTTCTTCAACAGGGGCCCCACCCATGATGTGGACACTTCCCGCGCCGGGAAGGCTGGCAGAATTTGCTGCGTTAGCCTGCTGTGGTCAGCTGCTCGCAGCATCATGTGTCGCAATTCGGGTCCGCGGTTGGTTCGTTCTTTTCGACGTTATATGTTTTACGTTGAGGCGCGTCCCTTCGTACACGCAAGCATTGGATCAGTTCCCCTTTGATCCTTGTTGAAAGCAGCAGCACCTGTTGGGGACGACAGCATTCTTGAGCCTTCTGGATCCCCGCTGGGGCTTTCTTGGGGTACTGTTCACGCTTCGCGTATCCCGACCAGCCCATCCAGAAACGATGCTCATGAGAGCTGACGGGGGGAGAGAGGAAGAGACACGCATAGTCAGCCCATTCAGAAGCCCCGGGACGTCTGAGTGGGCTTGCCATCTTGAGCCGTCTTGGAGCGGTCTTGGGGCCTCTTGGATCATCTTGGGAGCCATCTTGAGCCAGCTTGGGCTATCTTGAGCCATCTTGGAGGTTATCTTGGGCTCTCTGAGGCCGCTCGGGGGCCTCTTGAGGGCCTCTCGGGGCCCCTTGGAGCCATCTTGGGGCCTCTTGGGGTTCTCGGGGGATCCTCTTGGGGGCCTCGTGGGAGCCTTGGAGGGCCTCTTGGGGCCATCTTGGAGGCGGTCGGTCAAAAGAGGGGGGGTACTCGATGCGCGTCCCCCCCCATCGGAGCCACGATCCTCGCGAGGGGTGTCAGAAATTGGCCCTCCCAATGGCCGGAAAAGGAGCCTCCGACACCTCGCGACACCTCCCAACACAAACCTCCGGGAGGGGAGGGGGGGTCCCCTCCCCGAATGGAAGAGGGGTTGTGGAAGAAAAAACATATTACCCTTAGACCACTTGTCGTCCAAAGGGCTGGTGGGATTCGTCGGCGCCTTTTAGGCCTTACTGGTGCCGTGGTGGAGAGAATCGACTTGATAAGAGGTGCCCCAGAGTTGCGCACCTATGCGAAGACAGGTATGCTGTGGACTTCTTCGTGTGCTCTTAGGGGTACTGTTGAGCACTCCTCAGCCCACCTGCGGCTTCCCTTGAGTCATATCGGGGCGAACGAGGCCGAACGCCTTGTTTGTTGATGGTTTTGTGTTGACGCGGTTTGCGAGCGTATCTCATGTGTTCCTCCTCGTGTAGTGTTCGTTGTGCAGCAGTGTTCCTTTTACAAAATGTGTGGAATTCTCTCGGGGTCTCCTTTAGCTCTCCCAAGGCGCTTCTACGAGCGAGCCTCCAGGGGCCCTCTGGCGCCACTCCAGCGAAACATTATAGGCACTCTTGGGGCGCTGATGGGGCTCTGGGGCTGTCCTGGGGACCTTTGGGGTCCCTCTTGGGGCCCTTCCTCTCATCGCGAAGGCCTCCGAGGCCCATCGACGGGAGTAGTGTTCCTGAGGTCAGTTTGCGTATCTTAGCTGTGCAGATTTCGTCCATCTCGCTCAGGCCCAAAGGGCATTGCCATTTTAGGGGAGTCCCTTGGACTTCTTCGAAGCCTCCTTGGGCCCTCTCGGACCCCCCTAGGGTTTCCTTGAGTCCACTCCAGACCTCTTTGAGGCCTTCTTGCGGCCGTGCTGGAGGCAAGCGTCTAGAGCCTAAGAAAGGGAGGGCTATTCAGCAGCACTCTATTGGAAGCCTGTGGCGCCATTTTGGGGCAGCCATCGGCTTCTACTTTGGGCCTTTCTGGGCCATCTCGGGGCAGTCTGCAGGCCTGTGGAGCGTATCGGAAGCATGCAAGGCGAGGCTCATTGGCTCCCTCTCGGGGATATACTTGTGAGGCTCGCTGGCCACCTCGCAGCTGTCTAGAGGTCTTCTTGGGGCCTCTTGGAGCCATGATGCATGCTGGAGTCTATCTGAGACCACCCTGGCCACTTTGCGACACCTTAGGGGCAGCATTGGACTATCTGAGGCCTTCTTGAACACCAAGAAGGTCGCGAACCCATTTTCCATACGTTTAGGAAGATGTAGATGGAGGGGCGAACCCTTCCCCGAAAGAGAACAAGGGTCTGTGCTGGAAGAGCTGGTGGACTTGATCACCTGCGCCCAGAGGGCTGGTGGGAGTGCAGATCGTGGCGAAACCAATTGCCGCAGATTCGACGAGTCGAGACACGAGTCGAGCTACATCCTACGCGGCGCGCGAGCTCCATATCTTGGTTGTCTCGCCCCCCTACTCTTCCTCCTTCCTCTCCTCTCCTTCGCCTTTTCCCCTGGATCCTTCTGCCGCTGCTTCTCTCCTCCTTCCCCCTTCTCCTTCCCGTTACTTCTCTTCTTCTCTCCTCGTCCTCTTCCTCCGCGCTCCCCCCCCTTCCCCCTGCGCCGGCCCAAGTCTGGCAGCCCCCGCCCCCGTGCGCGGCCTGCAGACTGACCCGCTCGCACCGCTCGCCGCTGCGACCCCCCTCCGCGCACTCGGCCTACAGCCGTGGGCTGCTGGAGGTGGTCCTGGCCCGCAGCGTCTCAGGACCCCCTCGAGCCATGCAAAGATCACGGCATACGATTTTTCACTATTTCGGTTTATGGGGGCCCTTACCGGGCGTCGGGACCGTCAACACCGACTCAGGATGAAAAGCCGGTCCCGGCGAATGGGCCGAGATTTTCGGTGTCGACGTTATGAATAAAATCATGACGTCGGAGGTCTGGATCCCTAGCTCACCCAGCGCCACTCTGGGACCCCCCTGGGCTTCGCGAGGAGGCGCCCTGGAGACCCCAACACTTGGTTACAGGATGCAGCTCCTGTGGGGGTCAACTTCAGCATCGGTGCTGGCATATCCATTGTCGGCATCCAGCCCAATCTGGCACATGTCTGTCAAACTCTGCTGACCCCCGCCAGATCAGGCGCGGTCTGGCCGAACTCCGAGCTAGATAGCCCCTTTAACTGGGCTCAGCAGCCGTTGCGCCCTCGTTCTCACGAAGACCTCCAGGAGTTCCCCCAGCCATTTTGGACGCCCGAAACGGGTACGGAAAGAACGGGTACGATGCCCAACAACACATGTTGTCCCAAACCAACAGCGGCCGCTGTTGGGCAGGCGGCCTTCTGTCTCGAATGGACGCAGGCCGCGGCGGTGCGGACAGCGAGTCCTGTTCAAAATGAACAGGAACTGCTGTTGGGCATCGTACCCATTCTTTCCGTACCCATTTCGGGCGTCCAAAGCCATGGGCCAGGGGCACCCTTGGCATCGCTCGGCGCAGGGGACCGCGCCGTGCCACCCCCCCTTCGGAGCCATGGCGGCCCTCGGGCTCACGATGCCGAGCCTGTCCACGGGCGCGGCCCTTGGGGCGGGGGGCTCCGCGCTGCTCGGGGGCAAGTGGCTCTTCAGCTACAATCGCGGCAACTACAAGTTCGACCAGAAGCTCCACTTCGGGCGGTTCACCACCGGAGCTCGGGGGGAGGAGAAGCTCCGGACACCCGGGAAGGCCTCGGGCTCTGCGCACCGGCAGCCCCCCCCCCCCCCCCCGAGGGTGGTCCCAGCCAGCCTATAGCAGCCTCCCCAGGTGGTCGGGTGCGGCCCCAGCGCCCCGGCGCTGCCTGAGACCGCCCCGGGCTGCTCGTGGGGCCTGCTGAGGTCAGCCTGGACTCCTGGAGGGGCTGTGCGTGCGCAGCCCGAAGCCTTCCCACCGACACCGCTACCCCTCCGACTCCAGCTCTCCCGCTTTCGCCACGGGTCGGACGCCCCGCGGTGGACCTCGAGCTCTAGCCGACGTGGCTGGACCCGCCCTGGAATCTGTTGACCAGAACGCACCGGGGAGAGGCCCCCGGGGCACGGGGCATCCCATTCCCTGCAGGAGCGTCCCTGGCCTGCGCACAGACAGGCATGTACCGGCAGGATATCGGCGACATGGCAGAGCTTACGTGCGCACGCATGGACGTCTACCATTGCATCGCCGGCATGATCGCCACGATCTTGACCGCCGTCTACTGTCCCGGAAGGGTGGGCCTCCACACGCCGGCTCCGCCAGGATGGCTCATGGGCCTCTTCATGGTCAACATCGCCGGCTGCTACGTCTACCTCGGCCTCACGATGTGGCTTGCGATGCACGCCTCGCTCCGGGCGGAGACCTCTGCCACTCACATGTTGACAAGGTTTGTCCGTCTCCCTATCCCGGCCAATTGGATGCTCGACCGTGCACGTAAGCTGCTGGCTTCGTACGAGGAGCAGAACCTTCGCGAGGTGTTCCGGATTCCCTTCTTCCGCCACAGGCGCGGCAATAGCGGCAACGACGATGACGTCGGAGATGAGGGCGCGATCAAGCGCACCCGAGGTGGTGCCGCACATCTTGGCGACGACGTTCCTGCTTGGTACAAGAAAGAGAAGGCAGTGGACCGCAACTTTGCGCAGGAGACGATGCCGTTGCAGGCTCCCTTCGGATTCTACGGTACATGCACTGATCGTTTGGGCGCGACCCCAATCAGGGTAATGGACTATTTCTCTTGAGGCATGCAATGCGCAATACAGCGCGACGAGATGCAACGACGTGTGATGCTATGCAGCAGTGTAGCACACGTCGCAATGCATGCCATAGACCTGCCTAACACATCATGGTATGGTAGCTTCGTGCAGCATGTAATGGTGCGCCATAGCACAACGTAACATGGCGTAGCCTGGCCTAGCATAGCCGGGCACAGCCGAGCATGGCATATAATGGTATGACGCAGGAATGAATCGCATGGCATGGCGCATACCATATAGGAGCACCACGTACCTCAGCAAATCATATCAGCACGGCGCTGCACGGCGGATCGCGGCACAGCGTAATCAAGAGGTGTCGCGAGCGAGGTTCCGGCGCCGCGACCCTCTGGAGAATCCGCCAGGACCCCAGACGCCAGGGCTGTGCGGACCAGGCCTTTGCCAGATCCGCCTGGGGAGCACCGGGGGCAACACTAAGGGGGGTACAGTCAACGCGCATAGTGATGACAAACGACTTCTTCAAGGGTGCCCTTGGGTCCTTGCCTGCCTCAGCCTCTGCGGCCCGTCCCCAGCCATGTTCGCAGGCCAGCTTCTCAGGTTCCCTGAGGGCTTGGCCGCCTGCCGCCCAGAATACTTAAACTTCGGCCTCCAAGGGTCTTGCGTCCTTGCCACGCGTCCTTACTATACGTTTTCACTGTAATGGAGGATGACGGTTAATAAATGACCGGGGGTCGTGTTCACGCGGCGGCGCCCGGGATGACGATTAGAAAAAACCGGCCGCGGGCTGGAAAACTATTTTCTTTAATCGTTCTCCGCCAGTGAGAAAAGTGTGCAGAAATAACAGGAAACTATTTTTTTGATCGTTCCCCCCCTCATTTTTTTATTAATCGTCATCCCGCATTACTATACGTTTTCGCTGTGCAGAAGGCGAGTGGGGGGGACGCCTCGCTCCCCAAGGCGTTCCCAGGAGAGGCGCCCACGGGGGCCGGCTGGCCCGCCCCTCGCCCAGGAGCGCGCGGGCGCGCCCCTCGGGGGCCCTGGGGCCGATCCGTTGGCGCTGCGCCGCTGCTTCCAGCAGGACGTTCCCCGCCCCCAGTCGGTCCCCGCTCCCCCCCGCCTCGTTGCCTTGTTCACCACCCACCAAATCACCCCAACCCAACCCGAAGGTCTCGGTTTGCCCTCCATTTCCAGTTGGCGGGGGGTCGGGGAACATCGAGAAAACACATATGGAACCCGTACCCCCCCCAACCCAAAATTCGGGTCTTCGGGTTGGCTTGGGGTGGTGTGGTAGGTAGTCGCTTGTGCTGTTCCAACCGACTTGAGCCTTGACCACCAGACAGAGTTTCGAGCACCAGGAAGGCAGCCCCAAATGCGTTTTTTTTTCACGTGTCGGGCCCTGGGAGACACTCGGCCGACACTGTTTCGACACCCTTTCGACACTCCTCCGGGCGCTCGAAATCATTTCTGGCGTGTGGTCCTTAGGTACGACGGTGGCAACAGAACCGCTGCCCCTCATCCAGCGGGAGGGAGCGGAGGATGGATCGCGGGCCTAGAGGTTGACACCAACACCAAGGTCGGCGGTGTGCCTCAACCGAGGGAAGACGATCCCGATCTCGGTGATGGTGGTAATGTTCTGGCTTCCCAGGCGGCCGAAAGATTACCACCAACACCGAAATCTAGGATCACCCTCCCCCGGTGGAAGCAACGCCCTGTGTTGGTGTTGGTGTCAATCTCCAAGCCTCCACGATGGAGAGTGTTTCGGCCCACGCCCGGCGTCTCCTCGGGCGCGCCCGGCGCCGTGGCTCCTCAGACCGCCCCCCGTCCCCCGCCCACGGGGGCACCGGGCCAGGCCCTGTGGCCGCATGTGTGTGCTGCCCGGCAGCGCCTCTCCTGGCTCACCAGGGGGGCAGGCAGGGCTCCCAAGGCAAAGCCGACTTTGGGGAGCCCGAGCTCGAAGAAGAACCAAAAACACACACATAAAACATAGACTTTTTGGCGCTCCGCGCGGCGTTCTCGGATCCGCGCTGGACTCCCCCTCCCTGGCGCGCGGATCGCGCGCCAGGGGCGGCGCCGGAGGCGCCGCCGAGGGGGGCTCCGCGCGCGCCGCGCGCCCGGGCGCTCCGCGCGCCAGGGAGGGGGGTGCAGCGCGGATCCAGCTCCTCGCGGAGCGCCAGCAGTCTATGGTTACATTGTTTTCTTCACTGAGTACCCCTCGGTCGTTGAAAGCAGGCGCTTCCTCTGACTTCCAGACCCCACCCTACATTGGGCGCCCCCCCGTTTCCAGGGTCGAGCGGCGTTCCCCTCTGCCCCTCCTCACTGTTTTGGCCCGCGGCCGCGGGAGAGCGCGCCGGCGGCGAGTCGGGTCAAAGCGGGCTACGCAGCGACGAACTGAGCGAAAGCGGCGGAGACAGGCCACGCCTCACGCGGCTGACCGACTGCCAGCGTGCAAGTATGCATGGACTTCCTTACGGGGAGCAGGCGGGAATCCAGTCTCCTGCAGTGCGCGCGTGTCCGCGCGCCTCGGGCTGTCCTGTGGGCCTCGTCGGGCCCTCTAATTGGGGGCCTTCACGGGCCGTCTCGAGTCTGCCTGGGCAGCCCTTTGGGGCTGCATGGAGGGGGACATTGGAGGCCCTTGCGGCTCATTTGTCGGAAGCGGATAGACCTCCTACCCTGACACGACGATCAAGGAATTGGCCGTTTTCGGCTCGCGAGAGGGCGTCGCGGCCGCCATGTTTGCGGGTCCGGGTCCGTCGGTTTTGGTCCCAGGCCGTTTTCACTAAGGGGAGGTTTACTAAAGGGAGGTCTGTCCACCGCTGAATTCAGGCAGTCAGAAGCGGGCGACACAACGCTAAACCCATTGAACAGAACCAAGGGGCATCAATGATCTAATCTTCTTGGAGCCCTTTGTGGAGCCCTCCTGAGGCTCTCTTCGGCTCTCTTGGGGGCTTCCTACTTCATGCTTCCACCTGCATCCTCCGACCGATGGATACACCGAGCACGAGAGTCACCACCCACCAAACCACCCCAACCCCACCCGAAGGCCCCAATTTGCCAACCATTCCCAGAGAGGGAGAGAGAGAGAGAGAGAAAGAGAGAGAACAAACAAATATACATATGTTTAAAGAGAAAGAGAGAGAGAGAGAGAGGGAGAGAGAGAGAGAGAGAACAAAAAAGAGAGCAAGAGAGAGAGAGAGAAAGAAATAAAGAGAGAGAGAGAGAGAAAGAGAGAAAGAAAGAGAGTAAGAGAGCGACACGAAGCCTGGCGCAGGCTCGCAGCGGCAGCAACTGCCCGCAGCACTTCGAGGTCTTCCGCGAGATGCAGCAGGCCTGCAGCCTCTCTGTCCCCTCCCCCTCCCTCCGAGCCCCCCCTCCCTGGCCACTTCTCCGCGACGCGCTTTCTTCTGAACAGGCCTGTCGCAGCCCTGCCTGATCCCCTTGCCCCGCAGCCCGCAGCATCATAGTCCATCCGACTCTAATCGCCGCTCCCCCCATTCTATCCCACTCCTCACCCAGCCCCCTCCGGTCTCCTCACTCCTCCTCCTCCCCTCCCTCCTCCTTTCCTCCCTTCTCCATTCCCTCCTCCTTCCTTCGATCCTCCGTTCACTCCTTCCCTCCGCCCTCCTTCCTCCTCCTGCCCTCCCTCCTCCTCCTCATCCTTCATCCTCCTCAACTCCTCCTCCTCCTCCCTCCCCTCCCCCTCCCCCCCCTTCTCCCCCCTCCCCCTCCCCCTCATGTTCATATCATCCTCTCCTCCTCCGCCCCTTCTCCGCTGCCTCTCCTCTTCCTCCCCCCCTCCTTCCTCGCCTCGAGAAAAGGCATAAAACATAAAACTGTATAGGGCGCTCTGCGCGGAGTTCTTGGATCCGCGCTGGGCCCCCGTGGCGGCGCCTCGGCGCCGCCTCTGGCGCGCTTTTTTTTTTTTTCTTTTCCACTTGCGCCTCCGGCGCCGCCTCTGGCGCGCTCCGCGCGCCAGGGAGGGGGGGCCAGCGCAGATCTAAGAAATCCGCGCGGACCGTCAAACGCTGATGTTCGTAATGATGTAGTTGTTTCTTCCTCCACCTCCACCCCCCTCCTCCCTCAAGGAGTTATGGCTCAGAGGGGGAGCACGGCTCCCCTCAGGGCCACTGCGTCTGCACCTCCGCGTGGTGCTTGAGGGGCGTGACTGTGGTGCCCTCACGCCACCAGTGTCACGACTAAGGCAGCGGCACTTTTGTTGCAGATCTCTCTCCCCATGCGCCGCCGATGCGAGTGGAACTCCCTCGTGGTAATGAACCACTTTCGGTGCGCAGGTTGCCAGAACATAATGGAGTTGTTCGAACGCCCCAGGGACAGGCACGGCTGGTTCAATCGTCAGACGGGTACATTGGCCATCGGTGATGCTGTTTAGTACTGCGACGAGGAGGAGGATCAATTGCAGCAGCAGGGGCACATCCTGAAGAGTCGCAGCCGCAGCTCCTCCCCCTCAGCAAGTGGTCACTGGTGGTCACAGTCGCTTCCGCGCAGATCGGGCAAAGGTGGGGCGCATGAGATCTCCAGCCCGTTGCAGAAGGCGATCGAGGCCACGAAAGAGCAGGAGTTGTAGGGCACTCTCAAGGCCCAACTCATGCGCTTGTCCTCTCACCCCTGCCCAGCGGCGACGGCGGCGAAACCAGTCGATGCCATGAGGATGGCCGACGGGGTCCTCAGTCAGGAGTGCAGAACGCGTGCGGGAGCAGGCAACAGCGCCGGCTCTTCGCCTGGAGGCCTCCTCTGGCGGCGGCCGACCTGAAGGAGCAGGGGGCAGCCCTCAAGCAGGCTCGGGCCCAGGAGGCCAGGGCGACGGCTGTCAGCGCACTGGCGCAAGCGGGGGGCTTTTTCCGCAGGCTGCCGCTCCCTCGGCCCAGAAGGGGTCCCATGTTCCGGCTCGAGCGGGGCGGCGGCTTCTCCGCAGAGCGAGAGCACGCGGAGCGCGCCCCCTGCCGTGGGGCAGCTGCGCGAGGACCTGCCTGCCACTCGGGGGCAGCCCCAGGGGGCAAGAGGGGCAGGAGAGCACCAGCTGGCTGGAACAGGCTCGCAGGTTCCAGGAGCAGCTCGCAGATGGTATTGTTAAGTCGGGCGCGTTCAAAAATTATCAAACAATAATCAAAAATGATCAAAAATAAGAAGGGAGCGTTTTTTTTTGTAGTTTCGAATATTTTTGGTAATGTTTTGAATATTTGTAGTCTTTCGTCCAAAATCCCCCTCTAGGGGGACATGCCCGACCTAACAGTGTTGCCAAAAAAGAAGAATGCGAAGGGAGGCGTCGCCAGTCAGGACGAGACCATCCCGAAGCAGGAACAGCCGCCCGCCCATGACGAGACTGCCTGCGAGGAGAGAAAGGAGTAGAAGCCCCAGAGGGAGCAGCGCCTCGCGGACGAGGCGAAGAAGTTATCCAAGGCCCTCTTCACGGCACAGAAGGAGGAGGCGAAAACCAGTGGCAAGGGCAGTGCAGCTGCGGCGGCATCCTCGTCTGCGGCTGGAGGTAAGGAGGGGAAGTCATCGTGACACACGGCATCGGGTGCTTGTCAGACCCGGCCTGACATTGAAGCGGGTGAGCAGCACACCCACATGTTCGCTGCGAGTGTCACATCGCTCCCGGACGAGGTGGTTTGAAAGTACATTACAAAGAATTCGTCTATATGCCGCGATTGGGGCCTACTCGAGACGTACGTGCACCACCCTGATGAACTTCATGGATGGGGCCAAAGGACCAGACAGGTCAAGCTACGATTGTACCACACTCCTGCGCGATAATCTGGGAACGTTCTCCGACCGTAAGCAGAAAGTGCCCGGGCGTAAACATTTGCAGGCTCACGTTCTCCCCGAAGCAAGGGTTTGGGCTTCTCTGTTGTCTAGTACTGGCTCTGCGGCGTTCGATGGTTTCTGTCCCGTGGTCGTGAATGTATCGGGGTTCTGCTTCATGTTTGTTCTTCTACATGGGCACCCATCGATGGCCATGGAAGGCCAGGACAGAACCATATTTGGAACATTGGGTGGTCTTCTCAAATCGGTACGACTTCCATGGACGGTCATCGGGGACTTCACTATGCCCTCGGCCGTCTTGCAGGCGTCCAGCTTTGCCCAGCAACACGACGGTGTCATCGGGGCCGCTCACGGACAGAGCGGGACATGTGCCCAGCAAGGAGGCGGCGATTCCTTGTTGGACTACACGCTTCGCTTTCCGTCGGCAGTTCCGTTCGTCAACGATTCCCAGCTTTTGCGTGATGTGAGTTGGAAGCCCTCTGTAGCGCCGCGGATTTCCCGCGGGAGCACTGAGCTTCAGCTGATCCCGAGAATCCTCGAGACCCCGTGGCTGCCCTAGCTCGCGAGGCTCAAGCGTGGGCCCACCATGGGTTAGAGGAGCTCCAGTGCCAAACCCGAGCGCACGATGACCCAACGAGAGACCGTCCAGAGGCGCGCTGAGCAGATTCAGTCGTTGCTCGGGGACTGCTTCCAACCTGAGTATCCCAACGGTGGGGGTGGTCCTGTGGGGGCGGGGCCGCCCCCCCCCTCGAGCTGTTTGATGATCCAGAGCCTGATCTTTCAAGGGAGGAAAAACCACCCAGACCAGACAATTGGCGTTTACTAAACGGCCGTGGGCGTTTCCTAAAAGCACTGCCCGGTTTGATTCCTTCTTTGGGTGCGTTTACTGAACGGCCTCGCTTGTCGGGGTGGTTATTCTGGGGGTGGTTTGAGTTGCCCTCTGATCTTGACGAGTGGCCAGACAAACCTGTCCCGTGGGAAGGGGGCGAGGGGGGCCAAGACACGGGGGCCGGGATAGAGGCAGGCGAGAGGGCATCCGCAATTGCGGACGCTACCCTGCCCGCGGACCGCTGCGTGGGGAGGTCGGTGCAGGTAGGGCCAGAGCGCCACATGGCGCCAGCGACCCCCTTTTCCACCAAGTGCGCACAGCTAGGCCATACTAGATTTTTACAGGCAGCCCACCTCTAGCCGAGGGGGAATAGCACCGAACTGGCACGAGAGCTCGATCGGTCGATCCTCCTCCCCCTGTTCCTCTACCTCCTCCTTCTCCTGCTCCTCCCCCTCCACCTTATCCTCCTCCTCCACTCTACCTTATCCTCCTCCTCCACCCTGCCTCCTCCTTCTCCTCATCATCATCGTCGTCATCATCATCAGCATCATCATCATCATCATCACCATCATCATCATTGTCGTCGTCATCATCAGCATCATCATCATCGTCAGCATCATCTTCCTTGTCATCCTCCCCCCTCCCTTCGAACATCGGCACCCAGACCTTTCCAGGGCCGCCTTCTCCCACTGGAGCTCCGAGGCGGACCCATCCCGCGGCGGCGAGGGCGCCTCACGGAGGCTCGAGACGCGGGGCGCGGGCGTGCCCGGAGGCCTCGAGTGTGCTCGGCCCCCCCTCGGGCCCAGGAGTGGTGGCCGTACGACGTGTACGCGCGCCTGAGCCTCTTCCTCGCCTTCATGCACCTCACCTCGACCTACTGCTTCCACCAGCTCGGGCGCTCGGGGCTCTCCCCCATCCAGCCACCCCGCGCTGGCCTGCCCCCCCCCCTCCCCCACGCTCCCTTGAGGAGGGCGATCAGCGGCAGCGTCAGGGGGGGATAGGCTCGAGGGGGGGACGAATCGGCCCCCGATCGCCCATTTATCGCCGATGGGGGCCCGGTTGTCCACCCCGCCCAGGAGCATGCGGGGGTCCATGGCTGATCGATCGCCAACGAATCGCCGATCTCAGACCAATGCCAATGTTTCATCGCTTGAGCCGGTCCTCCTTGGTCGTTACACCCACTCCTCCTCCTCCGAGGAGGAGAAGGAGGAGGGCAAGCAGGTGGGATCACGTGCGCGTGGTATGTGACCCCTCACCGCAGCTCGCAGAGGAGCCAAGCGGGTCCCGAGGGAGACGGGCCACGGGCTTTTCTCACCGTTTTCCGGGGCCCTCCACGAGCCTCGGGGCCGTCGAGAAGCCCGGCAGGACAGAGAGCGTTGGAGCCTGCGGTGGCCCAGTTCTCGGAGGGCACCAACTATACACCAACACCGATCCTGGCCCAGGATCACCCTGGGCCCAGGATCGGTGTATATGCCTTCTTGCGCAAGGCAGGAGGCCTTCCTAAGTTCTGGGTTCCAGCCCGCAAAGAAAGGGGGGGTTAGGGGGGCCCCCGCGTCGCAACGCCCGGGCGCGGCTCGAGCAGCCTGTCAGTTTCGGCCCAAGGAGGGGCCCCTGGGACCGACGCTGAGCGGCCTTCCCCCTCCACCCCCCCTTCCTTCCTCTTGACCGTCCAGTGGGCTTGTCCAGCTCAGACCCCCGCGGCCGCCTCCAAGAGAGGAGCCGAGGAACACGCGCAAACATGGATGGAAGCGCGTCGAGCAGCGACGGCCTCGCTTCCACGCAGAGTCCGCGAGCTCCGCCACCACAGCGGGTGGCACTGGCGCCGCTTCTCGGGGGCCTTCCCCGATCCATGGGCCTGGCGACCGCGCACCGGATCCACGTACACATGGTTCTTCTCCAATGATTTGAAGGTTCTTTGTTTTTTTGGGGCGGCCAAGATCCTTTCATTTCTAATTGTTATATCCTGGGCCTCTTTCTGGCCATTATAGGGGGCCAGGGACAATTAGAAACAAACACAATTAGAAATGAGCACGATTAGAGATAAACGACGTGTATCTCTAATGCATGTTAGCGCGTGCCCGAAGGAGCTCTCCTGGGCCCCAGCACCCGTCTGCTTCGGGGACCGTCTCCCCTCGTGCCGAGCAGTGGCCTCTGGTGCGCGGCTCTCGGAGGGCGCGGGGGGGAGGAACCAACGGAGGAGGAGGAGGAGGAGGAGGAGGAGGAGGAAGAGGAGGAGGAGGAGGAGGAGGAGGAGCAGGAGGAGGGGAAGGGGGGGGAGGAGGAGGGGGAGGGGGGGGGTGAGGGGGAGGGGGAGGAGGAGGGAGGAGGAGGAGAGGAGGAGGAGGTGGAGGAGGAGGAGGAGGAGGAGGAGGAGGAGGAGGAGGGTGAGGAGGAGGAGGAAGAAGAGGAGAAGAAGAGGAGGAAGAGGAGGAGGAGGAGGAGGGGGAGGATCCTCCTCATCCTCCTCGTTATCGTCCTCGTGCTCGTCCTCGTTCTCGTTCTCGCTCTTGTTCTCGTCGTCGTCGTCGTCCGTCTTCATCGTCGTCGTCGTCATCCTGACCATCATCATCATCATCATCATCAGCAGCAGCATCATCATCATCATCATCGTCACCATCATCATCATTATCATCATCATCAGCAGCAGCAGCATTTGAATGTTTATTATTATTATTTGTGTTGTTATTATTATTAATATTATTATCCGAAGAGCAATATTATCCGTTGTTATCCGGCATTGAACATTTTTTCGGGTGTAGAAAAGCCGCTATATGGGAGGAGGCAGAGATCAGCAGCATCACCGCAGGACCTGGCTCCGACGAAGCCTCTCGGAGGCAAGCCCAAGCACGCGGGCCGCTGTTGCCGCCGTACGGCATGCGTCGATAGGCAAGCCGCGCGCCAGATATCACTCTTGCACAGCGTCGCCCTGGCGCGCAGCTGAGGATTCGAGGATTCAGAGTCCCGTCTGTTGTCTGTTCGCGCGTCTGGTGCCTCGGGAAGGTTTCTCGTCACCGCGGCTGCATCCGTACCGACATTCTAGTCGAGACGCGCAGTAGGAGGAGCAGGAGGAGGAGGAGGAGGAGGAGGAGGAGGAGGAGGAGGAGGAGGAGGAGGAGGAGGAGGAGGAGCAGGAGGAGGAGGAGGAGGAGGAGGAGGAGGAGGAGGAGGAGGAGCAGGAGGAGGAGGAGGAGCAGGAGGGGCAGGAGGAGCCGGAGGAGGCGGCTGCCGTGCCCGCTCTCTGGCGCGGTGCCCTGCCAAAAAAGAGCTCCTGCCCGGGGTCCTCGGCCGCCGGGCGCCCCGACTGGGCGCGCCACGGCCGGAGCCGGGCGAGGGAGAGAGGGAGCACGGGCCTGAGCAGCACTGAGAGCACCCAGCCAGCACGCATGTCCCAGGCAAGGGGGGGGGGGGGGCCACAGCAGAGGGCACCGCCTTGCCACCTCCCTCCGCCTTCCTCCTTCTCCCCCACGCCCACGCCCCTCCCTCCTCCTTCTCCCTCCTCCTCCTTCTCCCTCCCTCCTCCTTCTCCCTCCCCCACGCCCTCCCTCTCCCCGATTCCCCCCCCCCCCCCACCCCGCCCTGGCCTCCCCCCCTTGTTCTCGCTCTTGCCTGGCGGCTCGGAAGACTTGCATGGCCTGCCTTCTCCCCTCCCCCTCCCCCATTCCCCTTCCTTCATCGCCGAAAGAGAAGAGGGTTGGAGAACCTCTTCGTTCTCGTCCTCCTCCTCGCCTCAGAACCATCCATCGTTGTCGTCGTCGTTGTCGTCGTCGTCCTCCTCTTCCTCCTCTTCGTCCTCTCCTCCCTTCTTCTCTCTCAGACTGCCTCATCCCAATTGTCCCACTCCCTCCTTCCCCCTTCTCCCTACTCTCACCTCGTACCTCCTGGCGTCTCTCCCTCTCTCCCCTCCTCCGCCTCTGTCCTCACCCTCGTCGTCCGCCGCCTCCTCCGCCTCAGTCATCCCGCCTCCTCCCCTCCTTCTCCCTCCTCCCGCCTCGCTTTGCTTCTCCCTCCCCGTCCCTGCTCATCTCCCTCCTCCTCCGCTATTTCCGCTATTTGACGCGCCGTAAGGGTCACAGCCCTGAAGCGCAGCGCGGCGGCCGTCGGCCGCCGACAGAGGGGGGGAGAGGGAGGCCCGTTTCAATCCTGGACAGCGAAGGCCTGGAGGAAAGGGGAAGGGAAAAAGACGGGCCCGTTGGGCCCAACACCGGTCGGCGAAGGGCCCGAGGGGGCGAGGGCCCGCGGGGCCCTGGCCTTTGGCTCGGCGAGGGCCCACCCACCTCGGTGGGACCTAGCTGAGCTCGTCCGCGTGGTCGGGGGCGGCGGGGCCCTCAGGTCGCGTCGAGGGCGGCGACCCCGCCCGCCCCTGGCCTCCGTGATGCGCTCCCTCTGGTCCAGCGCGAGGTGCTCCGCGTCACGCGTGCGTCCGCGGTGTGCACCTGCCGGTCCAGCGCCTGGAGCTCTGCCTTGCCGCAAGTCTGCGGGGCTCCGCTCCTGGCCTCCCAGCTGTACGCCAGCTGGCCAAGCGCGCGGAGCTCCGCGTTGCCGCCGGCCTGCATGATGCGCTCCCTCTGGCCCAGCGCGAGGTGCTCCGCGTCGCCGTGCGTCGCCGGGTGCACCTGCTGGTCCAGCGCCAGGAGCTCTGTGTTGCCGCCGGTCTGCGGGAGCTTCAGCGCTTGGCCTCCCAGCTGTGCGCCAGCTGGCCCAGCGCGCGGAGCTCCGCGTTGCCGTCGGCCTCCATCGCCTGGTCCCCAGCGCGAGGAGCTCCATGGTGCCGTCGGCCTCCGCGATGGCCCCCAGCGCGAGGAGCTCCGCGATGCCGTCGGCTTCCGTATTTTCTCCTTCTGGCCCAGCGCGAGGCGCTCCGCGTCGCGGTCGGCCTCCTCGATGTGCCAGTGAGCCTGCCTCGTTGCTGGTGGGCTCTTCGTCTTGTCACAGTCACCTTGGTCATGAACTGGTTGACTGCGTTGGGCTCTTCTCCTGGTAGGTTCCCAGCCGATGAAGTAGTGGTCGTGCTGGTTAAGGTCGATGGGGGTCGGCTTGTTGCTGGTAGGTGGAATAGATTGCGGGCGCACTCTGGCCTCCATGCACCGACTTCAAGCAGGGTTCATGGCGGCCCTGCCTCGTCCCGCTATGGCTAGGGGTCACAGTGCCCTCGGTGGGGGCGAACCCCAGGCCAGGTGATTCTTCTGCTGTCGATGAGGAAGGTCAACGCTGCCCTATGCTACGCCCTTGGGCGCTCGGGAGCTCCGTCTCCGCCATGGGAATGGTGGGGGTGGCGAGCTAGGGCGGACCGCGGGGGCGCGGGCAGTACTCGTCCTGCCCCCCCCCTGCCCCTCACCATCCCCCCTGGTGGGCGCGGGCAGTCCTCGTCCTGCCCCCCCGCCCTTCGAGCCCGTCTCGAAGTTTGATCCTTGCCTCACCAGGGCAACGTTGACTGGTACTTGGTGCAGTTGGGGTCATCGGGCTGGTACTTCTGAGCCCTGGCTGTACGGCGGCCGTGTCCGTCACTGTGCAAAACGTGGCGACGTGAGCCTGGGGTGTTCCCTCGCATTCGGGGCTTCCCCAGGTCTTGCGTCCTGACAACTTGTGCAAAACTTGGCGACGTAGCCTGAGGTGTTCCCACGCATTCGGGGCTTCCTCAGGACTTGCGTTCTGATTCTTTTGTACATGTCGTCAAGGCGCTTCGTCACGATCCTCGTTGTCAGCCTGTGCCCGAACAGCTCCTGTCGAGGTGGCGGCCCTGCCGATTGCCTTGTCGGGTCGGTCCTGCCGGGCCCACTCCCTTGCCTCTTCCAGCCAGGTCGGTGAGCCGTTCCGCCTGCTGCCTCGATAGTAGTCCTGACCCATCTCCCTGGTCTTGTAGTGGTCGAGCGGCTGGAAGAAGTGGGCCACGTCGTC